TGGGGCTGCAGTGTGTTTTGGGGTGGGGCTGCAGCGTGTTTTGGGGTGGGGGTGCTGTAGGTGAGGGTGGGGGTGTCTGGGGTGCATGGAGGGCTCTGGGGGTGCTGTGGGGATGGGGGTGTAGGTTTGGGGTCTGAGGTGCAGGGGGGGGCGCGGGGGGTGCAGTGGAGGGATAGAGGGGTGCGGGGCCGGGCTGTGGGTGCGGGAGTGGGTGCGGGTCCGGGGGGTGGGTGCGGGTTGGGATGTGCAGGTGCCTGTGCTGTTCCCGGTGGGAATGCGGGTCTGGGGGCTGGGATGAGGGTCCAGGGGGCTGGGATGAAGGTTGGGACGTGCAGATGCGTGTGGTGTTCCCGGCGGGAATGCGGGTCAGGGAGGGGTGGGATGCAGATTTGGGGTGCAGCCGCCTGTGCCATTCCCGGTGGGAATACGGGTCAGGGAGGGGTGGGATGAAGGTGGGGGTAGGATGCAGGTTGGGGGTGCAGCCACCTGTGCCATTCCCGGTGGGAATGCGGGTCAGGGAGGGGTGGGATGCAGGCTGGGGTGGGATGCAGGCTGGGGTGGGATGCAGGTTGGGGTGGGATGCAGGCTGGGGTGGGATGCAGGTTTGGGACGCAGCCGCCCGTGCCATTCCCGGCGGGAATGCGTGTCCCATCTCCGCTCCCGGGGCGCGGTGTCGGGTGGGGGACTCCTCTCCTGTCTCGGTGCCGGGGCGGTGGTGCTGAAGGACAGCTCCGCCCACACCCGCCCCCTCACCCGCCCCCCTCCCTCCCTCCCTCCCTCTTCTTCCCTCCCTCCCCTCCCTCCCTCCCGCTCCTCCGCCGCCACCGCCGCCACCGCGGCCGCCGGAGCCGAGCGTGCCCTCGCCTCCCCCGCCCGCTCGCCCTCCCTCCCTCTGTCCGTCCCTCCCTCCCTCTCTCCCTCGCTCCCTCCCTCCCTGCCCGGCCGCCGCGATGCCCCAGCCGGCCCCGCCGCCGCCGCCGCCGCCGCCTCCCCCGCCCGGCGCGGCCGCACGATGAAGCGGCAGAACGTGCGGACCCTGGCGCTCATCCTCTGCACCTTCACCTACCTGCTGGTGGGAGCCGCCGTCTTCGACGCGCTCGAGTCGGAGCAGGAGACGGCGGAGAAGCGGCGGCTGGAGGCCAAGAGCCAGGAGCTCAAGAGCAAGTACAACCTCAGCGCCGAGAGCTACCGCGAGCTCGAGTGGGTCGTGCTCAAGCTCAAGCCGCACAAGGCCGGCGTCCAGTGGAAATTCGCCGGCTCCTTCTACTTCGCCATCACCGTCATCACCACCATAGGTACCGTGAGCTCCCCCCGGGGGTTCCCCTCCCGGCTCCCCTGCGCGGGATGGGGGGTTTGGGATCCTTCTCCGCATCCTTCCCCGGCTTTCCCCGAGCGCCCGTCCCTTCGCCGCCCCAAGAGCCCCGCCCGGCCCCCGGGGGGATCGGGGCGAGCCCTGACCGCTCCTCGGGCACCCGGAGCCCACTCACCGGGCACCCAGAGCCCCCCCCGCCGCCCATCACGGTGGGATCAGGGTGATCCCGGGATCGCCGGCACAGGGAAACACCCGCCCGGACCCCCCTGGCCGCCCATCACGGTGGGATCGGGGCGATCCCCCTGCCCGGTGCTCTGGCACCCAGACCCCCCCCAGACTCCCATCCCGGTGGGATTGGGCCGATCCCGGGGTCGCCGGCACAGGGAAACATCCGCCCAGACCCCCCTGGCCGCCCATCCCGGTGGGATCGGGGTGATCCTGGGATCTCCGGCACCGGGAAACATCCCCCCGGACCCTCCTGGCCGCCCATCCCGGGGGTACGGGGCGATTTCTCTGACCGGTTGCTCTGGTACCCAGACCCCCCAGACCCCAATCCCGGTGGGATCGAGCCGATCCCCCTGCCCGGTTCCTCTGGCACCC